GAGTAAAAACAATTTCTATTTGAAATCTATTCTCATAAAGAACAATAATGTTTCTGCCTTTTTAAATGAAACACGTGAAATTTGGCAATAAAATAATTAAACTGAATAAAATGCGAAACTTGTTTGTTTCAAAACGATACTAAATTAATTAAAATTCTCATTTTACTATTTTTTTTAATCAGTAAAGCCACTAAGACACACAGGATTATAGGATGTGAAAGAATTAGAATACATGAAAATTAATAATGAGTGAGGAGAGGAAAGAGTAATTAGGAGGACAGTAGATAGTGATTGACATTGCAGATTAAGTTGGCTGGAATGCATGGAGTCGGAAAGGAGTTCCACAAGCTAGAAGTTCGATAAAAGAAACTGTTGTCTGTGGGGGTGGGGAATAAAACAACAATTTAAAAACTAGCCCCTATAGTGAAGAGCGATATCTATTTGTAAAATGGTACAAAATGTGGCACAAGGCCAAAATGGGGGATGGGGAAAAGGAGGGTCTTCTGTCTTAACTCTAAACTTAGCTAACGGCAAACACTGACCTAAACATACAACAATAATCCTTATACCAAAACACCGCATTTTCACTGATTTTTCTTACGACATCCACATAATACCTCATTGTCTCTATGAAAATCCTAACTAGTCCTCATATGAACAATTCATTGTCTGTGGGGGGAGGGGAATAGAACAACAATTTAAAAATTATCCCCGATAGCGAAGAGCTCATCCGAATACTTACCATGACAGTATTTATAGAAAAGACACAGATTGACAACCTTACTGTGGTGGGAAAGTGACTAATGCCGAGCCGCTAGATCAAGACCAATAATATTGCTGGATCTTATCAAGGACCACAGGGGGCACCGGACCATATGTGACAGCAATATTCTAATCATGGACGAATTGTAGACTTATAGATGTGCAAGAAAGATTCTGGAGAGAAAAAATTGTCTTGTACGACACAGTGAACTGGCTTTCTTGTATTTATGTGTCTAAAGCATTTTCTCGTTTTAACTATTTTAGAATTTCATTATTTCTCTTGCACTGACGTAGGGTTCTATTCAAAACGTTACATTTCAAAAACCTGACCCGGGAAATTAACGTTGGAACCACTTGGTGTGGATCATCGCGCGACTGAAAGAAGCATTAATAATAATGAGGAAATAACTTTAAGAGTCAGTTTTCTTGGCATGAGTCCATTTTTTGTTGCTAAAGATGCATTAGTCATCAACAAATTGTCACCTGTGACGAACCCCTCACCCCCCTCCCTCGACTTTCAACTCTAACGAACAAAAAAGCTATCCTTCGAAACGAGGTCATTTACGAATATAAATTCGCCAATGTCACAATTCTGTGTCATTCAGGCAAACGGAACTTTGCAAGAAACGTCTTTTTTTGGAAAATCCTGGTAACACGAAACAGCAGGCGGACATAAGCTAAGATTCAGGCGAGAAAATTGGTGAAGGGCTGTGGAAACCCCACCCAGTTTAAAATTTAATGTCGTTAGACAATTTCCTTATTCATCTTCCACCCACCCACACCTCAGCGAGAAATCTATCGTTACCACTTTGAGAAAACTTACGGGATGAGGATTGCACTGCATGGGACCAGTTTCCGAAAAATCGAATCACAAGCTAAAATGGATCACGCCCAACAATAATACACTTATCAATTGGCGTTAAAGGAAATCCGATGAACTTTGCCAGTGTCAATCTGAGGTCGATATGGGTAGAAAACGTTGCTCTTTAAGTAAAGCAGCTACCAGCAATGTGATTTGGATGAGGGGACAACTCAAAAGTACTTTTATTTTTGAGAACAGTGCTGTCACTTGGCGTTTATTGAATCTGATGAATCCATTACGGCTGATGATGATGATGTCGGTAAACTAAACTCTTTTCTAGGCTGTCGATAAAGTCTGAACACAGTGACAGATTTTGAAAAAAAGGCTTTAACTAAAATGTTTGCATACAAACTGGCGAATCATTATTTCATTCGTTCCTTTATTGATTTTGCTCTTCATTCTCTCTTTCTTTTTCGTATTGTTTATATTTGATTTTTGGCTTGTTCCTTTCTTTTCTGTTTAATCCAATTTAATTTCTTTCTTTCTTTCTTTCTTTCTTTCTTTCTTTCTTTCTTTCTTTCTTTCTTTCTAGTCATTCTTTCTTTCTTTCTTTCTTTCTTTCTTTCTTTCTAGTCATTCTTTCTTTCTTTCTTTCTTTCTTTTTGCGGTTGTTTCTTTCATTTTAGTCCTTTCTTTCTTTCTTTCTTTCTTTCTTTCTTTCTTTCTTTCTTTCTTTCTTTCTTTCTTTCTTTCACCTTCTGCTGTCTTTCTCTTTCTTTTCTCATTTTATTACTTTTTCATCTATTATATTCTCAATATTTAATTAACACATACATGCACACATATTCATACGCACATGCACACACACACGTTTAATTCTACAGTTTCCTTTTACTTCTTAGTTACGATTTTTCTTTCTTTTTCCTTATTTTCTTTTTTCTCTTTTCTTTCCTTTTATTTCTTTTAATTTCGTAATTTTTCCTACTTTCACATTTAATGTAACATTTTTCGTTTTTCATCTTAACTGCGATCTTTCATTTTTTTTCTACCTTCGCTTTCCTTTTTCCTTCTCTTTTTCTTTCTTTGTCTCTTTTTCTACTTCGTTTTCCTTTTTCTGCTTTCTTACTTTTTTACTTTCGCTTTCGTTTTTTTTCTACTTTTTTCATTCTTTGTTTGTTTCTTTCTTTAATTTCACTTTCCTTTTTCTTCTCTTTTTCTTTCTTTCATTCTTTCTTTCTCTCTTTTTCTACTTTCTGCTTTCGCTTTGCTTTTTTCTTCTTTCTTTCTTTCTTTAAATTTCGCTTTCCTTTTTACTTCTCTTTTTCTTTCTTTCTTTCTTTTTTTTTCTTTCTCTTTTTTCTACTTTCGCTTTCCTTTTTCTGCTTTCTTCCTTTTCTGCTATCGTTTTCCTTTTTTCTACTTTCTTTATTTTCTACTTTCGCTTTCCTTTTCCTCTACTTTCGTTCTTTCTTTCTTTATTTACTTTCGCTTTCTTTTTTCTTCTTGGTTTGTTTCTTTCTTTTTCTACTACTGCTTTCCTTTTTCTTTTCTTCTTTCTTTCTTTCTTTCTTTTTCTACTTTCGCTTTCCTTTTTCTTTCTTTTCTACTTTCGTTTTCCTTTTTTTTACTTTCTTTCTCTCTTTCTGCTTTCATTTTTCTTTCTTTTTTCTACTTTATTTTTATTCGTTTCTAATCTTTTTTTAAATTTTCTTTTTCCTACTCTTTCTTTTTCTACTGTCTTTTAACTTTCTTTCTTTTACTTTCTCTCTTTTTCTACTTCACACTTTCTTTCTTTTTTCGAATTTTTATTTCCTTTAGTTTTTTTTCTACTTTCTTTTATATTTCATTCTTTTCTACTCTTTTTTCTTTGAATTATTTTCTTTATTTGACTTTCTTTTTACTTTTCTTTTTCTTTCTTTTTCTACTGTCTTCTTTCTTTTTGTATTTCCTTCTTTTTTCTAATTTCTTTCTTTTTCTACTTTACACGTTCTTTCTTTCTGTGAAATCTAAGCAACATCGAAGCTCTCTATATTTTCCAGTTTTGTATACCAACAAAAGTTGGCTTTACGCATTCACTCTGTCTCTCGATATATTTATCTATCTTCTGTCTGTGCGACCGCATGAGTGCGCGTGCGCACAAGAGGGAGTCTAAACGAGTGATGGATGTCTTTGTGAAATTGAGGGACCCAGCAGCAGGAAATTGAATTGAGAGTCGTTATCGGATGTTTTCATTAGGGGTCCGTGGGGTCTGTGACTGTATAGGACGCTCATGCGTATGTGTGGAATAACACAGGAGTCTTGGTTGGAGGTATTAAGAGGATTGCTGGTTGTGCTGAAGGTGGTGGTAGTGGTGGTAGCAGTAGTCGTCGTCGTCGTTGATAACATTAGGGGGAGTAGTGAAAGTAAGGCAATGCTAATCTCACTTTACTCCACTGGTGTCATTCTCTTTCCCTCACCGTTTTTTTGTCAATTGCCCCTTTTCTCTCTCTCCTTCTCCTTCTCCCCCCCCACTCTCTCTCACACAATTTCTCTCTCTTTTCCTCATTATATCTCTTTACTCTCCTTATATTTTCTTTGGGTGCAGATGGGGGTTTTCCCAAGTCCCAAGGAAAGTTATCTGATCTTGTTTTCCTTTTACTTTTTTTATTACTTTTTTTCGCGCCATGTGGCAATGGGCGGGTTAATTCTATGGCATCCATTAAATAAAACAGTAGACCAAAGGAAACACACACACAAATATATATATATATATATATATATACATACATACATATATATATATATTTAATGAAACAGACTAAGCCCGACAATTATTTTAATATATTTTCTGTTTATACGTTACTTTTATAGTTACAAATATTTAAGTAAATGCTTTATTTATAATAAACAGTATTAACAACATTTACCGGCCTGAATGTCCAAGAAATTTTCATAGTAAATATGTGTCCTCCGGCAGGAATCGAACCTGTATCCTACACGGAACCGTCATTTGGACTGACGTGCTATACTGTTTAGCTACAGAGGAAACATCTGGTCACCAAAGTCAAAATACTCTTTTTCTCGAAGGATCGTATCTGCACAAAAGTATCTTAAAACACACACACACACACACACACACACACACACACACACACACACACACACACACACACACACACACACACACACACACATATATATATATATATATATATATGAGAGAGAGAAGGGTTGAGCCAGATAGAGACAAGTAGATACTGAAATTGGAATCAAAACAAAAGTATAAAATATAAATAAAAAAAAAGATAAAAAATATGGGAGAGCGAGCGAGCGAGCCAGAGAGAGAGAGAGAGAGAGAGAGAGAGAGAGAGAGGTCAGTGCTTTTGGTGCTTAAAATTGAAAGCATTTGCATTTTCTGTAATTCTATCTATCTATCTATCTATCTATCTATCTGATTTCATCTGTTTATGATATCTATCAATCTATGTACATCTCTACTTCCTTGTTTGTTTCCATCGTATTCAACTATTAGTTGTAAGCCTAGTTGGCTGTATGTATTTTCAAAGAGGAACAGTGAAACAGATAGATATATAGATAGATAATAACAGACTGAGATAGATAGATAGATAGATAGATAGATAGATAGATAGATAGACAGATAGATAGATAGATAGATATAGATGAACAGAGATAGATAGATAGATAGATAGATAGATAGATAGATAGATAGATATAAACACTCAGATAGATAGATAGATAGATAGATAGATAGATAATGAACAGACTCAGTTAGATAGATGTAAACAGACTCAGATAGATAGATAGAGATAGATAGATAGATAGATATGAACAGAGTGAGATAGATAGAAATGAACAGAATAACAGTGATAGTTTGCTTGCTTGATAGATGGAGGGAAAGGATCCTAGTCATAACTATGTCGCTAGAATATAATCAAAATATTCGATATAAATAGACGATGGTTGATAGATAAGAACTGATAAATTAATAATTCGTGACATTTTCGGTTGTAGGCATCAAAACAAAGGATCTCCTCATCTAGATTGATTAATGTATAGATAGATACACAATGTGATGAGAGAGAGAGAGAGAGAGAGAGAGAATAAGAGAAAGAGTCAGAAAGAAAGAGGGAGGTGGCGAGAGAAAAAGAGGAGAAGTGAAAGAGAGAGAGAGAGAGAGAGAGAGAGAGAGAGAGAGAGTAGGAGTGAGCAAATAATAGGGAAGGGTAGAGAGACATAAAGGATAAAAAGAAGTGCGAGTAGATTCGGATTAATATTAAATTCGCCCAACAACTAAAAAAATGAGAGAGAGGAAAGAACCGCTGCTTTTCTAAGTAGACACCCCCCACCACCTATAGAACTTAAATTTTTCGCCATTTTTAAAGCACCCCCACACCACCGCATTATCCAAAGTTGCTTTGTTAGATTCTCGTTGTTTTCACTTTCGTTTTCTAAACATTTCTATACAGCGACCGAACAGTTCGCCTCATACTAACAATAACAACAAGAATAACTTTATAAAGAATATGAAGAGTTTACTCTGCAGTAACCGTTTTCATGAAACAGAAGAATGGTAAATGCGCAGGCCAGAGTCTGTTCAGAGAATAAAGCCATAAAATTCTAAAGAAATTTGAGAGGCAAACAGAGTCCACACCAGAAGACTAAAATGGTAACCAATGTATTAAGAAAAATTTAAATTTCGTTAGAAACAAAGAAAAACTTACTGAATCGTTAGGTAATAGCAGTTCTACTATATGACAATAGATGCTGAGCAATCATCTCGCATATGAAGAAGAAACTTGAAGCAACAGAAATGTGGTTCTACAGAAGGATGCTGAGAATACCATGAACTGAACATGTGAGCAGCAACAAGGTTTTATACAAATTCGAAACAAAAAGGATACTTAACATTAGAAAGAGAAAGTTGAAATTTGGAGGGCACATAATGAGGGAAGAAGGCCTGGAAAAATTGATACTCACAGGACAGATTGAAGGCAAGAGGGACAGAGAAAAAAACAAAGCATAACCTACCTAGTGAGCTTGAGTAAATGGATGACAGAACAGAGTTTAGGAGAGATAACAAAAAGACAAAATTTATTAAGAGCTACAAAGGAGAGGAAATTTTGCAGAGCCATGATTGCCAATGTTCTGGAGCGACATGGCAAAGAAGAAGAAGTTTCACTATCTTAGATGTTCTTCCCAGTTGCTTAACCATAAGCGGGGTATGAATCCCAGGGACTGGTACATTATACCTCTCTGTTCATGATTGGGTTTCGAGAGGGCTGTATGATTGAAAGATTTTTTTTTACAATAATGTTCACCATCTACAAGGCGCGGGGGGCTAATCGAGGTAGAGGGTTACATTAAGGGTCAGTTTATACGGATAGGAGGGGAAGATAACAGTTGACTCTAGACTTGAACAGGTTAAGATTGTAGTAATCGGGGAAGCCTCCTCCTGGGGGCCTATTCCAAAGAGCAGTGGTTCGCAGAAAGAAGCTGTTTGAGTGGGACTTTTACGTAATATCATTTTTACTATACGGCAATGAATGCTGAGCAATCTCTTCACAGACGAGGAAGAAACTTTATGCAACAGAAACGTGCTTCTACAGAAGGATACTGAAAATACTAGAATAGTTAACCCCAAAAATGGGGCCAAAAAACTATGAAAAATAGATAATCATAGTAAAAATACCAGCAATACATTTTTGGAAAAAATTTATGTCCAGCAATACATTTTAAAAAAGTATTACCAGCAATACATTATTGAAAAAAAAAAAAATACCAGCAATACATTTGACTCTCGACAAAAACCTCTTTACAAAAATACGTCAATGAAACATGATCTCTTATAAACTGATTTCCAACAAAGAACCAATATTCTATTCATACGAATATATACTTAAAGTCTTGTCGGCGCTAAATAACACATTGAGGTTTATATGCCGTAAAACGAAATAAACAAAAAACCAGAAAATCGACTCCCTAAAATATATGAAAAATCATGCTTGTGAGTACTTCTCTCAATTTACATAGATTTCTCTCTATGCAGTGACGACACCGACATTTTTTCACTATGCTTACCACATCTGTTTGCATTTTCTGATGCAAAAACAAACAAACAAACAAAAAAAAACATGTTGGCTCAAATTTTTGGTTGAGACATGGTGGAGGCAATTCGTACGATACAAAAACAAAGGAAAACAATAATATTATGGACTCAGCTATACTTAACCTCTTTTGGAAACAATCCTGTTGGGAGTCGGTTCCACAGGAAAGTGGTTCACGGAAAGAAGCTGTTCGAGTGGAACTTCAAATCGATGGAATACAGAGTGAATGTGGATGGTTTGCTACTATGTAAGTGACATGGCGTGTTCTTGCTGAGATGGTTTGCCTCGGCTGGAACAGTGAATGTAGTTCGTCCGAGCACTTTCCGTGGAAGTAGCGACAGAGCAGTGAGTGGCTTGCCCCATACCGCCTGTCGGGATTAGAGAATACTTCCTCACCCATAAGGGTTCGGAGGCGCTTTTGAACTCTGTCAAGGCTGGAGTGTAAGGTCTGAGCAACTCCTACCCAAATGACAATAGTACTCCATTTTTGGCCTGATCTGGCTCTTCTAAACGTAGAGGATAGCAGGAGGGGCTAACCATTTTATCTGCATCCTTAGCAATGGATTGTATGTATGAGTTCTACTTGAGTATGATGAGTATGAGTTCTACTTGAGGTCAAGTATGACTCTGAGGCCCAACAGTCTTTCAAGGCACGGTGCTTCCCTGAGATGACCTCCGTTGATCCTCATTGGTAGTAGTTCGGGATCAGATCGGCGATGATCGAGTGTAACTAGATGAAACGGTTGCCTTTAAATTATCTTCGGGAATATTTTTTGCCTTCCATCAGAATGGCTGACCATCAGGAGAGTGACTCATTGTATTTTCTAGGGCTAACTTTTTTCACTGATTATATTGAATCGGTTATTAGCTTTGTCATTCTAGACAATTTTTTCTCGATAGAATCTTAACACATTTACAAGTTTACCATTCGTCTCTGATTTGAATATTGCTGTTACATCTGGTCTGTTGCTTTTGCTATCTATTGAGAAATTATTTAAAAATTCCAAAGAAGAATCTGTAATGTTATTAATCCTGACCCAGCATTCGCCTTTAGTCCCTTTTCCACCCCACCCGTCACGTAGCTTCTCTGTAACTTTTCTATAAATAATTTTATGGTAATTGTTCTGATGAGCTTTTCGCTTTGGTACCTAGACTTTACGAATTTACGCACAGTATCAGATTGGCACGGTGGAGTAATGGATAGCGGATCGGATTGTGGAATCGGAGAGCCGAGAATCAGTGAGAGCTATTAGTTCAATTTAGAAACGGTGAAGATCTATTGGGCAAGACAGACCAGGGGATAATACACCGCAGAAGAAAGCCGCTGCGCTGAAAAATATGGACTAGGTTGGATGGCAACAGGTCTACTGCAGAAGAAACCCGCTGCGCTGAAAAAAAATTCTCCCCCCGGCTCTGCGGAAAAATACAGACCAGGTTGGATGGCAACAGGTCTATCGCAGAAGAAACCGCTGCGCTGAAAAAAAACCCGTTGGATGCGCTGAAAAATATGGACCAGGTTGGATGGCAACAGGTCTACCGCAGAAGAAACCCGCTGCGCTGAAAAATATGGACTAGGTTGGATGGCAACAGGTCTATCGCAGAAGAAACCCGCTGCGCTGAAAAATATTGACCAGGTTGGATGGCAACAGGTCTACCGCAGAAGAAACCCGCTGCGCTGAAAAATATGGCTTGTCATATATGGCCTATGCGTGTATCATAACTTACTGGCCAGATTGGCAGCGAGGTCTCATCATTTTAATGTTGAAATGATTAGATGTAACCGTAAGTTCTATGCTAACATTTTCTTCGCTCGCACTTCTCTCTTGAGGAACTCTCTTCTGTCTTCTTGCTTTCCAGGCATATTTGGTCTTCCAAAATATAAGTACAATCGTCAACTTTTGACTCATTAATTTAGATTTTTGTTCACACTTAGCAACCCCTTGCATCTTAGTGGCTTTATAGCTTTGCTCGGGGTGAAATGATTCAGAAAAAATATTTAGGAAACAGTTTTCAATCCAATATGTTCATAATATTTCTAAGAGAACACCTTTATTTACCTTAACTGCATTTCTTATCCGATCCTTATTAGATTCAATACCAGAATGCCACACCGTGAAGAAATAACTCTGGCAATACAGGTGGGATGAATTCTTGACACGTGAGAGACATTTCTAAAGGAGCAATGCTGAGGGGGGGGATTGGGCTATTTTGGACTTCGGCACCCACGTACACCTGGCAATGTTGCTTTAAACTCGGCATTATGCTATATTCTGTTCGATAGGGGTGTGGAAATTAATCCATTAACTTCATTTACTTTAAAGTCTCTGGCAAAAGACAGGTTAAATGATTGTATCAAACGGCAAAGCTAAATTAATAAGCAAACGTATAATAATAATAATAATAATAATAATAATAATAATGTGTGATATTGTTTTTTTTCTCAAAAATGCACAATGTAAAATGCCATTTCTGACCTGAGGTCTGTGGTTGAGGCCTGGAAAGAAATGAGTATACACCAGAAATCAAAGGAAATAATAATAATAATAATAATAGCAGCCTTTACACCATGAACTACCAGGTAAACATAATAAAAAACAATGCAGTCTAATATTTAAATTATATGAACATGATGAACTTATTGACCACTTTGTGGTTGTTTGTTCAATCCTGACACCGAAGTATTTGTCGTCGTTTTTACAGTCGAGGTGATGTAGTATTTTAGGATATGTTGGTAAATACTAGAAGCATTAAGCATAAGTCAAACAAACAACCCAAAATCAATAATAAAAATTCGAGACATTCTATGACGGGGGTGGGGGGTCACATGAAAAGCATGAAATTGACGTCTCCTGACCGTCTGTTTCTTTGTGGCCAAGCCGTAAGTCGTGTCGGGCTAAACGGTAGATTCCTCAGCTCTGATGGACGCACGTTCGATTCCTGCCGAATTAATTAGATTTCTCGAATATTCAAGTTGATAGGTGAAATATATAAATATATTGTTTAATAAATAAATGGAGCATCTACTCAAATACGAGTATTCACTAAAAACATCTTTTAAAATGTTCTATAATTTCGATTGCTTTCGGCTATACTTTTAGCCATTATCAAGGATGATTTTTTATTTTTAATTGAGTGTATGACTTGTGTGTATGTTTTTAGAGTTATAGGCATGTTTTATTTTCCGAACACAGTCAGCACATTGTGGCCGTGTTCGGAGTTAATATTATTAAGGGTGGGATTTTTTTTTATTAAGGCTGCCATTATTTTTAATCTTTTTTTATACATGTTGATGAGGTTATTATGTTTGTATTTTCAACTAGTAAAATTACAAAGAACGAACAAACATTATCTACGAGTTCAAATGCCTCTTAAGGAACTGTGTTGCTAATCAAACCGAATTCAAAAATAATTACATCGGTCACATGACAACATGCCTATCCAGGCACATTACGTTACACCTATCTGACCACAGCTCTATTAGAACCCATTTAAACACACACGCAAACTTACCAGAATCCATCCAAAACACACACACACACACACACACACACACACACACACACACACACACACACACACACACACACATAAATAAATATATATATATATATATATATATATATATATATATATATACTGTCTGTCAATTGATGATTGGTAGGGATAATTCCCAGGAGGGTATAAATTCAAAGAGAGCTCAATGTAAGAACAGAGCAATATAATAATGAATACAGAATCCTTAAAAGAATCCTTATTTTGTGGACCTCATGTCCATCTCTTCAGACCAGTTTTACGTCAATAAACTTTTCCCTCTTTTTCCCTTCTCTCTTTTCCTTCTTTTTCACTTCTTATTTTATTCTTACTTTTATTTGTGTCTGAATAAATTGAACTCCATTTATTGATGTAAAACTAGATTGAAGAGATAGACGTGAAGTGTGCGAAATAAATTATTACCTGATCTAATGGATCTTTAAGAATTCTGTATTCGGTATATATATATATATATATATATATATATATATATATATGCTCATTTTATTGAATACGACAGACAAGGTGCTTTTATTTATTTTTTTATATAATTTCTCATGCGATCTAATAATTTTTTCTCGGCAGATAAATTATATAAAACTGTCCGAATGTTCTTTTATCCGAGCGCTTGTATGTATGTATGTAAATTGAATATATATATATATATATATATATATATATATATATATATATATATATATATATATATATATATGTGAATTAAGTATATTTAGGCAGCAAGTATTCATCCAAACAATTTTAATTAAAGAAAACCTATAAAGTCTGTCTGTTTTAATTCCTTCTCATATTTTTTCAATTTTCGGATAAGATGTTGAGTATTTGTGCTCAAAATTGTGGATAAACTGTCCGAAGTTCATATTTAGTCATTTTTGTTCAAGTGCTTTCGACATTCGCGTCCATTTTCAAGAATCGATGTAGTACCTGTGCGAATTCTTTTGTTTTCTTTCTGATTTTCTTTGGGAAGCTGGACGTTTGAAACAATTGTAAATTGATTGGAATTTTTTTTTTAAATCGTTGATTTAATCCATTTTTAGCCACCTGCCAGTACAATGTAATTCTCCTTATTAAAAATATTTTAAAAAAATAAAATATACTCTTTTGAAATTTTATTTTATTTACAGCCCAATTGATTTGAAACACAAATCACTTACTTCAAGTTTAAAATATCGCTGAAATAAATGCATTTTTAACACAGAAGTAAGTTTTTGATTAGATAGTGACAGCTCGAAATTTTGCTAATTTTTCTATGAGGGACATACCTTTAAAAATTAATTGAGGAATATAACATGAGCGCCATTTTTACTACACAGTAATCTTTAAAATTTAGGACTTATTCTACGTATTTCAATGTTTTATTGAATTTTAGGTAATTTGGGGACTTTCGCACTTATTTTCTGATAATGTCGTGTATGGACGTCCGTATTTACAAAAATCTGCACGTTTAGATACACACACAAAAAAAATTCAAAATTCTTAGTAAAATATTACGTGTCACTGAATTGTCGTAAGCTTTTCCATTAATGTTTTGTAAATATAGTTTTTACTTAATAACAATATCACCTAACCCGTACAAATTAATACAAATTTTTTAAAGATTTAACACTTTATAAATTAACCTTATTAAAATTTTTTAAAAACTGAATTGTAAAAATGAATTATTCATCGAAACAATGTTTTTTTCTAAAAATAATAATATCCATAATATATCTTATTCATAAAAGTAATTAAAAGCTTTTCCAATAATTTCTTAGTTTTATTTTTATTTTACGATTTAGAACAGATTTTCGGTAACTGGGCGGGGGGACACTGTTAGATTGGCTCACCTTTTAGATCGTGCTCTCGCTTCTTGAAGATGATTCAGACAACCAGATTGAAAACTGCTGAGTCCACTGAAACACGTTGATCTCCATACTACCCGCTCCAAGGCGAAACGCTCAAGGGTGTTATGTGGTATACTGACAGCTGATAATATATATATATATATATTATTATATTATATATATATATATAAACAGAGAGAGAGAGAGAGAGAGAGAGAGAAAGAGAGAGGAAGAGAGAGAGAGCGACAAAGTCAGAGACAGAGAGAGAAACACAGAGAGAGAAGGAAACAGAGAGAGTGAGAGAGTTAGAGACATAGATAGAAAAGACAATTATAGGGAGGAAGAAGAACTAGAAAAGAGAAAGAAAACGACAGATAATTGTATGTCGGTCTTATGTCAATAAGTCCGCTAAATCCGTATTCCTGGTCGTATTTCGAATAATAATTGTGAGTGGGCACGAACTTATTGATCCAACTGCGTAGATTAAGAAGAAAGATAAAGAGAAAAGAAGCGAGAGAAAGAGAAACATGAAAAGAGAAATAAATCCACCGAATAACTCCATTCTACGTATTTCCTCAGAAACACAAACACATGTGCAATCTGATATAAAGATATAGGCACACACACACACACCTACGCAAGCACGCACACATTTATAATCAACATCGCCACCTCACACGACACTCTGGTATGTCTATTCACATGCAACAGATAGAGACATCCAAATTTATTTACTTACAGCGTGATGTCAAAGATACATTCACATGCCAAAATAAAAATAAAAACTACCTTTGCCTCGAACATCATTAGAAAGCGCCCCGTGGGGCTTGGGATGAAGGGGTTTTCTAAGTTATTTTTTTCTTGATCTGCGGCTAAAAAGTTTTCAAAACGAATCCACTTGAGATAACATTTTTTTTTCTCTCCTAAACCTTCAACCTCATTGGCAGCAAAAGAAAATGCGTGCTATGGAAGCATCATCACTATAACGCATAACTTGTAACGTTAATTTTTATATATATATATATATATATATATATATATATATATATATATATATATATATATAGTGGATATTTTCGCAGCATGTTTGTATTAAGACATATCTTATTAAATAATTTATTTTTAATAGGATCCTCTCATAATTAAAAATGTCCACATGATAAAATTTTAGAATTGTACAGTACATAAACTTAGCGTTTTTCACACGGAAAAATTAATTTTCAGCTGAACACAACAATTTTCTGTCTTAAAAGACAAGACCCTGATGACGACATTGTGCTAATGTCGAAAGTACTCTAAATAAAAAAAATATGAATCAAAATGACAATTTTCTTTCTTCCTTTAATATCGATACTAATAAACTTGTCCTTAATTATGAGGTGATCCTATTAAAAGTCAGTAGACAAACCTTGTCTGAAATATATATATATATATATATATATATATATATATATATATACACACACAAATACAAGCCTGTTTTGCTGCATCACAGCGCATCAGTGTGGTTTGACATCTGATCGATTCAATTCGGGACTGAAACCCGACCTATTTTCTCTTAGTCGGAGATGCTACCCCTAAGCTATCGGCGCACATCAGAAAAATTGAAATTCTAACATATTATAGACGAATGTATATATATATATATATATATATATATATATATATATATATATGTATGTATGTGTGTGTGTGTGTGTGTGTGTGTGTGTGTGTAGCAATAAGAATATAAGAATAAATTGTCTACAAATTAATAGAAAGGTGTAGCTGTAGTCTTACTGTCTCGAAGAAGTTTATAGAACTGAAATGTGTTCAGGATGTGAGCGATCATGACTCTCCACAATTTTCTCTTTGTAGCTCTAAGGCGTGTCTTTTTCTTATCTCTTTTAATCTCTTTTTACCTACCATTTACACAAGATCGCTAGATAAGTTATTTCTTTCTTCTCTCTGTTTCCTTTGCCGTCAATATATACTGTGCGTGTCAGAGTCTCTAAACCTTCTTTTCTCATTATATGCTTTGGGAATGTCAAATATATCTAAGTATAAGAGTCCTTTTTATTTCAATTTTCTCTAATTCATTGCTGACGTGTTCAGTCCATGTCATTCTCAGCATCCTCCTGATGAACTACATTTCTGTTAACTCAAGTTTCTTCTACATATGTGATCGATTGTCCAACATTCTTTGCTATATAGAATGAATGAAGTGCTCTTTTCTTTGTTTATAATAAGGGGGATTGAAAATCGAACCTTTCTACGTCAAATACTAATCATACAATGGGCCATATTGTCGTAATAGTTAGCAAGCCTATCTCGCTAGATCAATTGCAACTGAATAGTGAATTCAATTCTGACTGCGTCCGCCATACTTACGGCCTTGCGTCACATCTAAGCTACGTTTAGAAGATCATCAAAGAGCCATAGAAATGCAATAGAATCTGACCAATAGTACGTGCTAGGAATATAATCATTTTGTTTCTAATGCAATTTTCCTGTTTATTAATATTTTGATTCGATTTTTTTTTTTAGTTATCTTTCTCTATTTCAGCGCGGCTTCGGATTTCGGTGTCATATTTTTCGGTCTTCTATTACAAAGGAATATACAGTAATATAAATTCCAAATTAAAATATAAAATATAATAGTTCGCTAATTTACTACCTGTAATTTTACCAAATGCTTTCTCAAGTAGTAAGAATTAAGCAATAATTAATATCTTATAAACTAATCCATATATCTCTCATATCATGGATGATACCAAAAAGATTCAGCCATTAATACTGCACCATGTTTGTTAACACATATTTTCTTTCATTTCTGCAATTTGTCAACATTTCTTTCCTTTTTCCTTAATTAGTTCTTTTGATCTGGGAAAGATGGCTATAGCCAATTTCTCTTCTCCAGCGCTCGGTTTTTCTGCTCTTTTGATGATTCTTCATTTTATTATATATATATATATATATATATATATATAAAATTGGCTCCCTGTGCCGCGCCAGGAAATTTTTCTCCCCGGAATCGATCCTCCAGATCTACAAATCAACAATTCGCCCTTGCATGGGGTATTGCTGCCATATATGGTCTGGAGCCCCTTCTGTTTGCCTCGGGGTTCTTGATAGGCTCCAGAGGCGGATATGCAATATAATTGGCCCTGTTCTGGCATCTCGTCTACAGTCACTTTCTCACAGATGCGCCGTCGCCTCTCTCCGTCTGTTTTACCAATACTTTCATGGCAAATGCTCCGAGGAGCTGCATTCGCTGGTTCCCAGACTTCATGAGTTCAAGCGCCCTACGAGGCTGGCATCCCGCTCTCACTGTCGAAACTACTAAATGTAGCCGTCTCTTCTACTCCAATAGCTTCATGTCTCGCACCTCTCGCCTGTAGAACTCCCTTCCCTATTCCAGTTTCCCTGACAGCTATAATCTCCAGCTATTCAAATGTAATGTCAATCGACACCTCCAGTTGCCTTGATCTATCCACTACCCTTCTCCTCATCCTTTCCTCTATCACTCCTATCTGATCTTGCTCCAAATTTTCTGTAACCCCTTGTGCCCTAGTGGCTTCCCGCCTTGCTTGGGGTGAAACGCTTAAAATGTATATATATATATATATATATATATATATATACCGGGTGTAAGAGCAAAATTATCCAAATCGTGTAAAAGCGAAATCGTCCATTTGTAATATTAAGCATTGAACCGTTGTATCTTAGAAATGATTAAAGATATCTTACTGGAGTTCTCCAAGGTTTTTATAACAGTATTGGGCTCTACTTTGAGCAATAAGAATCTATAATTACTCTCTAGGCTTAACAGAAGTATCGTGATGAAATCGATCATAAGCGAAAATGACATGTTCATCACTAATTATTCATAGCTAAGGATTGGAAGTTCATGAAGGATAAAAAATAGGTTCAAATATCTATATATTATTCCGTGATCATTTTCTAGTTTATTCAACATGATCCTCGCTCTCTCTACCCTTCTAAAATTCGGCCTCACAGGTTTCACGTACGGTTTCATTTTCAAGTCATTTTTCGTTCCTCTTTGAACTGCAATAGCAGAAATTCCTCTCTCACGTGCCAAACGTCTTATGGATTGAGTTGGATCTTTTCTAATTGATTTCTTTAGCATTAAGTTGAAATAATGAACCCTCTTGCTGTCGTGACCTCCGGATCTAGTTTTCCTCCCTACTTTTCCCTCTTTTTTAAAGTTATTCACCGTTCTCTTGATTGTTCTTGAATTTGACTTTAAAAATGGAAAGCAGAGTATGATTGTGATTCATTACTGAAGGCCCGAATGATCTTTTTTTCTCCCACCATTGCTCAGTAGGGAAGAGTTAGTGGGACTGACACGAAACTTTTTAAACTATTGTCTTAATAGCTGAATAACTTAAAGTGTTTTTCCGTGATTCTTACGCCAAATGGTGTCAAGATGGATAAACGTACTATCTGAAAACCTGGTAAAAAACTCAATAAGTTTAGTGTTTTTTTAGATATTAAACATTTTGTGGGATGGACACGTATCCTATGCTGTTACACGATTGGAACAATTTTGCTGTTACACCCAGTATATATATATATATATATATATATATATATATATATAGATAGATAGATAGATAGATAGATAGATAGAAGAAGCCTGAAAATGAATTTATATAGAAGTCTGAAAATGAATATCAGTCACTTCGTCAAGACACATTTATTAGTCTGTCATTCCTCCTTGTTTTGAATAATGCTTACATATTTCGTCTATGGCTTCTGATATATATTTAGAGATTTTTGATAGAATTCAAAGAAGAATCAGCAATGTTATTGGTCCTAACCTGGCATCTCATTTTCAATCAATTTCCCACTGCTGCAACATAGCTTCCCCCTGTCTTTTCTGGAAGTAATTGTTCTGATGAACTTGTATCTATGGTACCTAGACTTAATGAAGTTAAGTGCAATACTAGATTGGCGGAATCTCATCATTTGACAGTTAAAATGGGTAGATAAACCGTAAGTTCTATGCTAACGGTTTCTTCTTTTACATTTTTCACTTATTGAACTCCCTTCTGGCATTTTGCTTCCTAGTGAACTTTGATCTTCAGAAATTTAAATGCAATGTTAAGCGTTATCTTCTGTCTTCTTATTTCTGGTTCTTTTATTGGCCTCTCTTCTTAATAGTATTTTTTTTTCATATTCTCTAAACACACAGTAACCCCTTTGCGTCCTAGTAGCTTTATTGCCTTGATTGTGGTGAAATGATTAAGAAAAAAAGGCATCTTAAAGTAAACAGAATCTGCTGGAGATTGTTAGTAATTGAATTCAATGACGTTCATAATACAAATTACTGGAGCCTGTGACAAATTGTAACTGCCCGAGTTTACATTGAGCAGCTGGCTTGTTTGAATGACGTATTACAAGGTAAATGAGCAAAGAAGTTCACTGCCAATATTGTTTCAGGACAATGTCTATCCTGGAGAGAGAGAGAGAGAGAGAGAGAGAGAGAGAGAGAGAGAGAGAGTGAACGAGACAGAGTTGAAAGAAGAGAGCGGGGTCCCTGAGAGAAAGTGTGAGTGAGTGAATTAGAGAAGAGTTGTGAGGTTAGTACATAAGAATGGAAGCAGACAAAAAAAGTACACTTTTCACCTGTTTGATTTCCGCCATCGGTTAATTAATTTACATTAAAATGACTTGCAATTCCTGTCGGGGCGTTTAAGATCATAGTGCATAACATCGATGTCTCATTTGCAACAATATTTGAACCGAGTCAAGGATGTATGTAGGAATTTGATTTCCATTATGTAAAATGGGGACAACGTTCTCATACATCTTTATTGCACACCTAGACTTCTTCATGACGCATTTTATACTTGCGCCCTACCTGTATTTCACACACACACACACACACACACACACACACACACACACACACACACACACACACACACACACATATATATATATTAAAAATTAGATCAGTTGATTCCGCTACCTTGGTTTCAACCAAACGGTATCCTCAGGCGATTTTTATCAATTGACCTCTCAAAGTTTTATTTAAAAGAAAAAATCAGTGAACGCAATATTGTTTATAAAATAAATAAATAAACGTACGAAAAAGAGATGCAGAACGGAGGAGGGTGAGAAGAAGGCAAGAAGAAGAAGAAGAAAAAGGAGAAGAGAAAGGAGAAGAAAATTAAAGGTATTATAAATGTATCTGTGGCAGGGAGGTGTTAACTGAAATGTACATACTTTTTTTTCCAGCCTCGTATGAGCTTAGGATGAATATTTCAGATGATTTATTTTGCATCCGGAAAATGACATTATTTCTAATTTTGTAATACCTTTGCTTTTTTCCTCCTCCCCCTTCTTCTTCGGTTCCTCCTCTTCCCTTTGTATCACACCCAACATTCGTGCGTTTGTTTATTCATTTTTAAAAATAATATAGCGTTCATTTTTTATTCTCTCCTAATTTTTTAAAGTTAAAACCTCCACATGTTATTTTTTATTTTTATTTTGTTTTTTACGCATGTATTTAGCAATTTTCAATACTTGGTACAATTCAACTCTGACCAATAACCTTTTTATATATATATATATATATATATATATATATATATATATATATATATATATATATATATATATGGTGTGTAAGGATTGTGCACCTGCAGTTATGTGATAATCAATTAATGTGCTTTTATCTTTTCAGAGCATCGATGCCGAACTATCAGCTAACGCATGCGATGAAACGATATGCTGTAATTGTTGTAATACACGCAATGCATAGCGGTGTTCAGATTCCACGTCTTTTGGAAGTTGCCAAGTCGTTTTTGCACGGTGGAAGGAGTCTTCAGCGGGGATGTGACGCCTGTATCGATGCTCCAAAAGGCATTCAAGGCGTTCGGACAGTATCCGAACCCCACAATTCGTATAGCAGGTGCAGGACATTATCGATGTAGATCCTGGAACGTCTATGAAGGCCATACGCGATGAAGAAATGTTAGTTCATAACTGCACAGACAAAAGAACAACGGTTGCTCCAATCAAAGAAGATTAATGAACAAGTTCTGTTTTTTGTCAAAATGTGGAGCAGAAAAAATGAGATGTGGTTATTTGTGGATCTTTCTGATGTCCCGCAGGCCATGCATACCAAGTTTCCCGCTTCTGTGGTGTCTTTAGGGGTGAAGAGCAGTGAAGGAAACCATTCCCCGACTAGGTTTTAGAGAAATATTTAACATCGAGAATAGACAATTGAAATTTCTGGGGCAGAAGATGAGGAAGTGGGGGGGGGGGGCTTGTAAAATCTGATATTTACAGGACAAACTGACGGCAAGAGGGACAATGTAAAACAGCACATTACATAGTTGATAAGTTTGAGTAAATTGATGGTGGAAGACTCAGGAGAAATAACGAAAAGACAAAATCTATTAAGAGCTACAAAGGACACGAAATTGTGGAGAGACATGTTCGCCTACGTCATGAGAATAATAATAATAATAATAATAATAATAATTCTTTCAATAGGGTTGAATGTTTTGAGTAAACTGGAAACAACAACCTCTGGATAAACCGTGATGTGATGAAAAGCTGTATGTATTTCGTCAGCAGGACTCTGCACTTGCTCACAAAACTGTGGTGACCAAATATTTAATGACGGTCAATCTGCCCGACCAAGGCGCACCAAACATATGACCACCTAACTCACCAGACCTAAATCCCTTTGACTATTATCTGTGGAGTATTACTGAAACGGGAGACTAATCAACGTTCCCAAACTACTGATTCCCTTATGTCTAATATAAATGCAGATCATGTGATGTGTGTCTGTCAAGGATTCTAGTTCAGAATTGAAGCTATTATTTCGGCTGAAGGCGGTTACATCGAATAAACAGGTAATGCAACTATTAGACAATCTTTGTGCCAGGTTTAGTTGTCTGTTAGATGTGACAATCACAGGACAGACAGAATTCAAGAAAGACAGAGGAAAACAACGCATAACCTACTTGACAAACTTGAGTGAATTGTTGGACGGACAGTGATTAGGAGAGATAGGAAAAAGAAGACAAAATGCATGAGGGAATGTTGTAGAGAAAATGATAAGAAAAGGTTATTTGTACTTAATATCAAGAAGAAAGAGTTGAAATTTCTAGGACACATAATGAGGAAAGAAAGTTTGGAAAATCCGATACTCACAGGACAGATTGAAGGCAAGAAAGACAGAGGAAAACAACGCATAACCTACTTGAGTGAAACAACGCATAACCTATTTGAGTGAAGCTTGAGTGAATAGTTGGACTAACAGTGATTAGGAGAGATAGGAAAAAAATGCATAAGGGAAGATTTTAGTGAAAATGGTAAGAAAAGGTGATAGTTAGATTCTGCAGAAGTTGGAACGGATACTGCAAATACTGGAAAAAGAAAGATTGAGTGGTGTAGGTGTTTTTTTTTTAGCAGGTTTAGTTTTATTTATTTTTGTTGTAATTTCCCAGTGATATGTTTTGAGGGGAGAGAAAAAAGACCATCGTAATTATTAATATCTGTCGTCATTGGCGGTACAAACCTGTCAGTGCGTGGCTGAGTGCACTGCATAATGTAGCCTTAGGTTTGTCCACTGAAAATGTACCCAGGGACACCTACACTTGAACAACATTGCACTACAGGTACCCCGATAATATGCGACCTTTGATCGAAGCAGCATCTCTAAGCGCTACCAAAGAGTTAAGACTCCTAACGATCAGACGGAAGGATCACCCCCCACCCATGTATATATATATATATATATATATATATATATATATATATATACAACGATCGTGTTTGAACAGTTTGAAGACGCAGTCTGAGATTGTTTTAAGGATATTTGAATCGATTATTTATTTATATTTTAAAAATTTATTATTATTATTAGTACTAGCCATATCCATAATTTAAAATAATTCAGCAGATACTGTTATTTTATTCATGGTAACTGGATTTTTGGCGATTGCCTTCATCAGTTTCCGTCGTTCCGTATGGAAAATGCCGCTTTTTTCAAAATATAATATTTGTTCTTATCGGCTTAACATGATTCTCTCTCTTCTCTCTCTCTCTCTCTCTCCCCCCCACTATTATCTCCCATTCTTTTTTGGTTTCATTTTCTCACTGAAAACAAATAATGTCTTTTCCCCTCTTTCCACGCAATCAAAACGGAATAGTCCTTTATTTATGAGGTATTGGTAGAACGTAACGGTCGTGCGATGTAACGAAGGGAGGGAGAAGCTGAATTATAATAGGATTATTATTATTATTATTATTAAAGCCTTATATTTATTCCTTTCTTGTTTATATTTCACTCCTTTAAAATTGTGCAAAACAGTTTCAATATACTTTAAGTATTTTAAATTATTTTTAAGTGCAAACTCATGAACGTCCCTCCTCTTTCTTGGTACGTTTATTGTAAAGCTGGGCTTAACAGGAGGTTCTTCAGGAATTTTTCCTTTTTAACGCTTAAATAATCCTTTTCAAACAATCTTTTTTTGAAAGGTTGTTCGAATACGAATTTTAGGATGGAATCATATGAAGAAACTATTGGCTAAATAGTAAAAGCAGATTTTGAACCTAGTTTGTTGCAGATTTCGTTCACTTAACTGGAATAATCTAAACTAAACATTCACGCGAGCCAATTTGTGTGTCATATTTAATTTACATGGCTAATTTGGAAAGCATCGGATGAAAAACAAGGGAGTTATAACCGTAAAACTGGCTTTTTGAACAATTTTTCGTGATTTTTCGTTATGCGTGGGGAAGCGAGCAGGACTAAAACCACACTATCTTATTTTTTGCATGATGGCAATTTTTTACATGTTTGAAGAAAACTAGATAAAAAATGAGGGAGTTATCCAAGTTTTTATTTTAAGTCGTACGAAAAATCCGATTTTTTCAGTTCATGAACGGATAAGCAGTTTTGAGGCCTGCTTATATTGAGACGCAAACGATTTTATTTCAAAGTATGAAAAGCAAATTTTTTTATGAGATATTGTGTTATTCTCAGATCAAATTGCCAGAAATGCGATTAATTGATTTATTTTCTACGGTTTATCAACCTTTTACAGGTTATTTAAAGCCAGAAAATATTTTCAGATTGTAAGAATTTTTTAAAGATAATTTTGTTCTAGCGATACAAGTCTTACTAATTAATCCATAGCTGGGGGATAATATATGGATTCATGCCTTTCGCAATAAGTAAGTGAATATAACGAAACGAACGTGAATTTGAACTTGGCTCACTGATTAACAATTCCGTGCCATTATCTATTACACCACTCGCACATCCCAGCTTACGGCACCTGGTATTCCCAAACGGTCACTCATCTAGGTACTGATCAGGCTCGATGTTGCTTAACTTCGGTGATTATACGGGAACCGGTATATCAATGTGATGTCGCCATAAGCCTCGCCCCGCCCGGAAATACGAATATGAAGAATCAGCTTCGATATTGGAATAGAATCATTGTCTGTTGATCAGATAAAAGTTATGTAAACTCGGTGTAGAGGCAAAGTTCCAGAAAACTACAGAATGCTGTAGCTTTCATTTTGCGACCGGCCAACCGTAAAGCTGGCGTAATAACCTGGCCGATTGCAACATGTTATCTGATGGCACGATGCGAGCAACACAGCCACATTCATTGGCAGTGTAATTATTCTCTGACAAATATTTATTACCTAAAGTGCAGGCATATATCAAACATGCCAGTTGACGGAGACCCTGCATTCAGTGGAGAGGGCTGTAGATTCTAGCATTATGATAAAGAAGGGGGTCTGGCTGTCGAGAAACGGCAGGTTTGACTTCGACAATCCAGTATAGCAAGAACAATATCTCTAACAACTAATATCAAACATGTCAACCTATTCTCTTTCGCCCATCTGTGTCCAAAGAGCGTCGAGAGAGAGAGAGAGAGAGAGAGAGAGACAGACAGACAGACAGACAGACAGACAGACTAATAATAATAATACAATCAATTTGTTCACTTCTGTTCGCCTGTCTGGGTTCCAGTTGCTTCAAAAGAGGGGCATTTGGCTTAAAGAACAAGCAGACATCATTCTCACGTTTGTTAATCTCCTTTTTTGTTGAAACCCCAGACGCAGAGAGAGAGAGAGAGAGAGAGAAAGAGAAAGAGAAAGTGAGAGAGAAAAAAGAAAAGAGAGAAATAGAGAGAGAGAGAAAGAGAAAGTGAGAGAGACAAAAAGGAAAGATAGATAGAGAGAGAGAGAGAGAGAGAGAGAGAGAGAGAGTAAGAGAGAGATCTGTCAATATGTTAGTCAAACAACACCCTATCACCAATTCACACTTTTGTCATCTGATTCCGTAAAAGGAATACGTTAGCGGGAAATGCTTATCTGTGTTTGCTGTAATTCAAAGTAAACTCTGAGTATACCAAGTTGAGGCCCTAGACAAACTGTTATTCAGCAATACTACTATAAGAAGTTGGTGCATTTGAATGACTAAATCTTGGCATGGAACGGTGTCGCTGATTTTCATGCACGAGAAAGCCTGTCCTTCCGTTTGTCAATAATCATGTGATGAGAAATTTCTCCAGACCTAGCACATCCACGCTGTCTCAAGTTGATGCTATCGACAAATTCTTCGGGAAGTTCTTGATTGAATACACAATTTATACGAAAGATGAAACAGCGACCTAAAACGACTGAGAAAATAATTTGATAGCTGAATAATGATGCTATGAATTTCAATGACCAAAAGAGATATTCAAAATCACTGGAAGCATTTCTAACATCAAGGAATTTTATGGATACCAAACAGACACGGAATATCATCGGCATCATTATCAACATAATAAGGAAATATATTAAAATCACCTCACTCTTTTATAGCTTTAGACACCATTCTCACGTTTGTTAATCTTTTTTGTTGAGACCCCAAATGCAGAGAGAGAGAGAGAGAGAGAGAGTAGGAGAGAGAGAGAGAGAAAGTGAGAGCGAAAAAAGAAAGAGAGAGAAATAGAGAGAGTGAGAGAAAAGAGAGAGAGAGATAGAGATAGAAAGAGAGAGAGAGAGAAAAGAGAGAGAGAGAGAGAGAGAGAGAGAGAGATCTGTCAATGTGTTAGTCAAACAACTCTCTATCGACAACTCCCATTTTGTCATTTACTGTCGTAAAAGGAATACGTTAGCGGGAAATGCTTATATTTCCTGATATGAGACAAATTCAAATATCCTCTTTACATTATTTACATTGTTCGGACTGTTGTCCTCATCTTTATTGTCATATTCACGACGTTCGGCCGTCGTACGCCCCGGCCTTCTTCCGGTGGTATACGTTGGAATTTCGAACCGAACCCTTAGCGGACGATCCCTTTCTTTACACCGTATGGGTGGTGGGAGTTGAAGTTGCTAATTGTCTACATATTTTGGTATATCGGGTTCGTACCGATCCTTCATCATTCGTCTATATTTCTGAGATGAGATATTTTAACTATTTACATTGTTCGGACTGTTGTCCTCGTCTTTATTGTCATATTCACGACGTTTCGGCTGTTGTATGCCTCGGCTTTCTTCAGCTGATCTAAGCTGGAATTTTGAACTGAACCCTTATCTTCTCCGGTTTTAGTGTCTATAACCCTAAAACAATTAGTAGTAAAATTATGAGTCCATGAGATCAAGCGAGTATAAATAGTTAAAATAATTTAAAAAAAAAAGATATTTAGTATCTGTCTATATTTGTGAGATGAGGTATTATGTACACTATTTACATTATTCGGACTATTGTCCTCATCTTTGCCGCCCTATTTGTTACAACGTTTCGGCCGTTGTAAGCTCCGGCCTTCTTCAGGGGGTTGGAATGTCGAATTGAACCCTTTATTTCGCTCACTGTGGTTCCACCTGCAATATTTTTTTTAATGGTTGTTAGTTATCAGTTATCTCCTGTTAATTTCCCTCTCCAAGTTCTCCACTGCCTTAACCGGCTATTGAACTTACACTCTTTGGGTCCTGTCAATGGATCTAACCAACACGTTTGTCCACTGTGCCATGTATCCTCGAGGACAAAGGCGTTGGTTAGATCCAGTGACAGGACCTAATGAGTTTGAGTTCAATACCCGGTTAAGGCAGCGGAGAACTTGAAGAGGGGAATTAACAGGAGATAACTGATAACTGACATACATTAAAAAAAACATGGCACGTGGAACTAGAACAGTCTACACCAGTGAGGGAAATAAAGGGTTCAATTCAACATTCCAACCACCTGAAGAAGGCCGGAGCGTACAACGGCCGAAACGTTGTAATTCTGTAGAATCACATTTCTGTTGCTTCAAGTCTCTTCTTCATCTGTGAGGAGATTGTCCAGCATTCACTGCCATATAGAAGGATTGATATTAAGTAACAGTTTAGTACTCTTTTCTTTGTTTCTGACGAGTTTTTTTTTTCTTAATACATTGCTTAACTTTTGGTAGGCATCATTTGCTGTTCCAATACGCTTTTAGATTTCAGGGTTGCACTTTCCGTTCTCTCTTAAAACACTTCCCAGATAATTAAATTGTTGAACTTGTTAGATTTTGGTATCCCCAATTTTTAATTTTGTATGTTGGGCTGTTCCTTTTGCTAAAGAGCATGCATTCTATTTTCTTTCAATTGATATTTAGTCCTTTCTTCTCGCTTTCCTTCACTACCTTATGTAAGATTTATTGTAGTTTCTTTTCTATGTCTGCTATTAACATTGTCTCATTTGTGTATCTGATCTTGTTAAGATTGTGGTCGCCAAAAATGGATTCCGCTAGGACTTCTAATTTTCTCAGAAGCACCTCACTCTATCGTCTGAATAAGTCCGGTAAGAAGACACATCCTTGTCTTACACTTTCTTCTAATTTTGTATATTTACTGAATTAATTTTCTATACGTATGCATGCGGTTTACTCCCAGTATAAGGTCTGGGTTATGCTAATATTCTTCCGAACATGTCAAAGGTTACCTAGTAGTTCTACAAGTTCTTTGTAGTGTACATGATTAAATATTTTCAGAACGAAATTTAAAACGAATTTATCAAGGTAAGATTGATTAACTCATTGATTATTTTAAAAATATGAAAGAATTTCGAAGAACAAAATACTCTTCTGTGTTTATTTCGAAAAAATAAACAAGTTTTTCTCGTCAGATTCCGTCTTGCACATTTAAAAATCTACCATTCGTCCGGGCATTGGATATTGTTGCCATATCTGGTCTGGTGCTCCTGCTATTCATCTCGAGAATTCTTGACGAAATCCAAAGAAGGATCTGTAATGTAATCGAACCTGATTTGGCATCTCGACTTCACTCACTTTCTCACCGACGTGGCATGGCTTCCCTCTGTCTTTTCTACAAATATTTTCCTGGCAACCAATTTCAGGGCCTCAAATGATTGAGATCCAGTTTCCTTCATTTTTTAATATTTTGAGAACATTCCATCGCGCATCTTGTATTCTTCATCTAATAACCAAATTCTTCATCTAGTAACCAAATGTAGGCCATAAAAACAAAGATGTCACTAACCTTTGAGTCATCAATTTGAATTGAGAATTTGCGGCTTTTTTATTTTTATTCCCGTATCTAGGTTTCTATGAGAGATATCATTACTGTTGTGGTGTCTTCCCTCTAAAGAGTCTGTGTTAGACTCTTCCGTCTACTATAAGTTTAGTAGGAGAGAAGGAATAGTAGATGGAGCGCTAGTTCATTCGATACAACCTCACTAGTCGTGTAATACTCTTCTGAAATTGGTTTTTCAATGAAAACTTAGTATCCGGCGAGATTGACAATGCTGCATGTATGATAGGAAAACAAATGATTTCTTGCCCATTTAAAACTAAAATCCTTTGATTCTTACATTACATTGTGACATGCATCATTATAATTTAATTGACGGGAATATTTGTCCAATTCTTTATGCTCGATTGACAATTGTTGTTAAACAGTCCATAGCATTAAATCTCACAGCAAGTATGATTGATGTTTTTGGAATCTTTATAGTGACATACATGGTTGGGCCGAGGGTTTCCTTGACTAAAGTTAACGGCCGGGGGTGGAAGGCTTCCTCTGATGTAATCAATAGCTACGTGTTCGTAATCAGGGCGAAACTTCAAGTCGAGAACAATAGTTGTGGTAAGACCCGACGTGGCATGGGCTCCACTAAATCTACTTTGCCCAAGTCTCACTACTCATGAATGAATAGCTTTCTAACTTTCTAATGAAATATCGGCATGCAACCGAAACAGGTGGAGGGTGCTAGTCAGACGTTTAGTTGCGTAGCGGCGCTACAACTCTTCCCGATCATGGGAAAAGTGATGATGATAATGATGATGATGACGATGAGCATATTTGACGTGCAAATGTTCAATAGCTTTTAAAAAGGAAACGGTAAAGCCGAGTTTGTTAGCCGATTTGATGCATTTTTTTAGTTTCATACTGAGTTAGATTTCAGACGTTTCTTTCTTAGAGGGGGTAGATTTAAGACCTCTTTCTTGTGTAACGTAGATTTAAGACATTTTTCTAGGGAGAGGTAGAGGTATGACATTTTCCTTGGGTGAGGTAGAATTGACATTTTTCAAGGAGATTTAAGCTTCTTTTGTTAAGGGAGTAAGATGTAAGCCAATTTTTCCTAGGTGAGGGCTAAGACATTTTTCAAGGTGGCAGTAGACTTAAGACATTTTTCAAGGTGGAGGTAGAATTATGACATTTTTCAAGGTGGAGGTAGATTTAAGACATTTTTCAAGGTGGAGGTAGACTTAAGACAATTTTCAAGGTGGAAGTAGACTTAAGATATTTTTCAAGCTGGAGGTAAATTTAAGACATTTTTCTTGGATGAGATAGATGTCAGACATATTTTCCGGGGGACGTAAATTTCAGACATTTTTCTTGGAGGAGCGAAATTTAAAACATTTTTCTTCGTAGGTAAATGTCAGACATAAAATGACGAAATACAACTTTAACACCGATTTTTATTTTGTATTTTTTCGTTTGATCAACAAGCATTTACTTTGGCTTCAAGGAAAATAATGCACATTGCTTGAGTGAAAATGTCTTTTGGAATCATTGAGTGAAGAATGAAACAATTTTTAAACCGATTTTCTAAAGAAGCGCTTGAAAAGCAACCACAGATAAAACGGACAATTCTTTTAAAATTTCGCTAAATATTCTTTATCAGTAAAAGAACTTAACTGCCAAATTTTAAACTTATTTACCGTTTGAATTTTGTAAATTTAGCCTAAAATTTTGAATTTTGAAATTAAGAATTGAATTTTGAAATTAAGAATTGAATTTTGAAATTAAGCCATTAAATTTGAAAATAAGCCATTAATTTGGAAATTAAGCCATTAAATTTGAAACTAAACCATAATTTGGAAATTAAGCCATTAATTCGAAAAATAAGCCATTAAATTTTAAATTAAGCCATTAATTTTGAAATTAAGCCCTGACTCTTTTTCACTTAATTTTTTCGTAAAAACTAAAAAGAAATCATTAATGAAAAAAGAAATTTGAAAAGGGTGGAATGTCTAAATTGCGGATCTCTAACCAAACATCTGGTTTGGAATGGTTAAACTATTATACTTTCCAAGTTGATATTTGATGTATTGTGTCATTAAGGAAGTAAATAAAATATTGACAAAGGGAATAATGAGAAATGATATATGCATGCAAGGAGATATAAGACTAAAAGGCATCAAAGATCAATCAGAAGTCGCATTCCCGCCTTGCTTCGGGCTGAAATGTTTAAAAAATCTTGACGATTGTAACGACAATTTATAGCGCGCAGAAAACAACATCGAAGTCTATATTTCTGAGATGAGTTATTATGTACACTATTTACATTATTCGGACTATTGTCCTCATCTTTGTCGCTATATATATTACAACGTTTCGGCCTGAAGGACATATAGCACAGTGGATAAAGGCGTTAGATTCAGTGACAGGACCCAAAAAATACCCGGTTAAGGCAGTGGAGAACTTGGAGAGGGAAATTAACAGGAGATAAATGACAACTGACATCCATTAAACATGGCACGTGGAACTAGAACAGTCTACTCCATTGAGCGAAATAAAGGGTTCAGTTCGAGATTCCAACCACCTGAAGAAGGCCGGAGCGAACAACGGTCGAAACTTCCAAAACTAAATCATTGCTA